CTTCAAAACTAATTTGTATGTCTAATGGAAAGAATAAGATAAAAATGGGAAAGAGTAAAAATTAATAAATGGTGGTGGGTTGGCCTCTCAAGTCACAGGGATTGGTTGGGTTGGGTAGGTGCACTTCACACCGCAATTACGTCTGAAATGGATTGGGGGATTTTGGAACACTTGAAAGGAAAGAAATACATATGCATTAGCAATTAGTGGGATCCGTTTGCTTGATGCTGCCTGCCAGCCAGCCAGTATGGCACGTACTAACCCAACAAACGACAATTGTTTACTTTAAGTTACAATTCTAAATTACCTAATCCTTCATTCTATGTTACCTTATTAAAATTTGGTCTATATTTGTATCAACGATAGGAGCCATAATGAGCATGGTTCGTCCCCCATACGTTTGCTCATTTGAAAATGATGTGGGTCTCTGCAACTACCTAGGTACTTTTTTATTTATTTATATTCACTTATATATAATCAGTGTGTACCTAGCAAGGAAACCTTAAACCTTAATATTACTTTGATAGTCATCCTCCATGCAGGTGTGATCCACCGACTCAAAGTATGTGGTTCCTCGGTTTTTAAAAATCGTCTATATTTAGTAAAATTGTACTTGTGGTCGGATCACAAAAATCATCTATCTTTAGTCGATATTTAGGTGTGAGTATATACAACACCCATGTATATAGGAAGACTATGCATTGGATGATACAATGCAGTTAAATTGCCTTTCCATAATATACCGATTGATTTTGCTAGATAATTTGTCTGATATTCATATTAACTCAGTTCAATGAATGATAATTAGAGATGACAATTTCGATATGACTCGTTTTACTTGTTTTGCGGCAATACGAACATGGTACTCTCCTCGATCAGACCTGGCCATTCATGACTCAAAGTATGTGACTCTACCTGCCTATTGTCATTCATAATGGTAAACAAAGAAGGGGTAAAGATAGGGCTGGTAATCGGTCGGTTTCGGTTCAACCGAATACTGGTAAGCCGGTTACTCCGTTACTAGCATACCGAAGTTGGGCAAACGACAGCCAACTACCATTACCATGGGGATTGTCAGACCGGATACCGAATAAACGGTTACCGGTTAGTGCGCCGGTTACCCATCTTCGTGTTGCTGCCTGTAGGTTGGAGAGAGATTCGTAGCCACCAACTCCTTTCTTAGGGAATCGGATTTGGAGATCTGGAATAGAGAGAGAGAGAGAGAGCCTACGCGCGAGCATGCAGTAGATTACGCCGGAGATTCAAATGGATATGGAGTAATCCTGGACTAAAGAGGCGACATGCAAGCTGCGAGAGGATTCGATGTTAGGAGATGTTGGGAATCGACGTCTAGGTTCTCCACAACGGCGATGACTGCGACAGAGGAGTGGAGAAAGGTGGAGATGATGATGATTTGACTCGCCACAGATACACCACGAATTAATCCCGACTAGAGCTCAAACATAAACTCTAGTCGGGTGCAGTTAAGGGCAAGTATGTTTTAATTGTCAAACCCGGGCCGGTCCATGTACCCCTACTTCAATCACTTAGTTTGTTATCTAGCAAACGTTCTTGGGTTTAAAACTAAGAAAACTATAAATGAAAACAAGCAAGTAAAGTAAATCGAGATTGTCCCAATGAGAGAAGAGTTCACCCGAGTATTGCTCCCCCTAGCTACATATCAAGACCGCCCAAATCGAATGCAGATGTGTGGAGGTGTGTTAATACACCGTAGGAAGGCGCAACAAGCGAAGGAAACCTCACTCTCTTAATCAATCGGTTAAGGAAAACAATTAAGCTAGGAACCTTAGCTCTCTCAATCAATGGATTAAGGATTGCTACAATAAACTAGGGAGTCTAGCTCTTTTAACCTTTCGGCTAAGGAATGCAACAATAAGCTAGGAGTCCTAGCTCTCTTAACCGATAAAACTAAGGGTTGCAAGAATCAATCCCTCGGAACTTAATCCGGACGCCAAAGTAACACCCAAGTTAAAGTGCTAAATCGAAGTTTGAGGTTTGCCCTAATTTTTCCTAGGTAGGTGACTCAATTGGCCAAGGAATCCAGTTTATTAAAGCCTCCTAAGAAAACGGGGAATTCCCTCTACCTAGATCAAATTGGCATAGCAATGAGAAATGAAGAGCACAACCCAAACATAATTAAAATACCTCAAACTTTGCATTAAACACAAACCCACACACAAAGCATTCAATTAATACAATCTATCACATATTTCAAGCTAGGGTTCACAGCACCCAAGTGAATAGGTAGGCTATTCCATAGCTAGGAAAAGGAACAAGAAAGAACCATGAAGAGATGACAATCTTCCTTCCTCCTTGCTTGAATCTCCATTGAGAGGTAAGAATCTTCACTCCTCTAGTTTAGGGCAAGCTCAATCTTTTTCTTCCTCCTTTGAATGACACTTTTTCTCTCTAGAATAGGAAGAGGAAACCTTAGGGGTCGTTTGCTTCAAGGATTTGGTACATGGATTTGGTACCAAAAAACCAACTATCAAGGATTTAGGTACAATCCATTGTTTGTTTTGTCAAAACATGTTTAGATAAATCTGTGGGTCCCATGGATTTGGTTTTTTTTTTGCTCCAAATCCATGGGGCCCATGGTTTTACAAATCCCACCTTATACCCTGGGATTTGGAAACAAGCTAAAAAACCATGCTCTCAAATTACTACTCTATCCCCATTATTTTTCATTATTCCAACCTTGCCCTTTTTTATATTATTAGCAGAGAATCTTGCAAATTGTCCGCCCCAGCAACCCTAAACAGACAAACAAGAGCTGGTCGCGCGCGTGCTGGAAAATTGGCGCTCGCCACCGAAGAAGGGCTGCAGCTTCCGTCGGCTGAACTTGAGCTTTGCCGCCGTCAACCTAAAATGGACGACCTAACACCCAGGTAAGCATGTCTCTGGTTCTTTTGCAAACTCCATCTGCTTCTTCGAGCAACCCTAGAGATGGATGATTCCCAGCTTCCCTTTTCGTGTTCTCTGAATCATTTTGATTTTGTGCTATTTCCCTTCATTTGTAGCACTCTTAGGTTATGATTTTATGATTGGTGAGTTCTGTCTTAGTGGACAGTTTAGTAGTTGTTTGTTTATAGCTAATTATTATCCCATTTTGTGTTATGTAAAGGAATGGCTAGGCTGAACAGGGTGCCTAATGCGCGCAACAGAGAAGCTTTGGCAGCAATTAGAGTTGTCTTAGGATTGTTGTTGACTTATTTGTCATTGTTGCTTGAACTGTTTGAGCTATTACTCTCGAAAAAGCGAGAGATTAGCAGACCTCCCAATCGACCTTTAGATAGCATATTTGATCATGAACACGATAGAAGATGTTATATGAGACGCATAATTGGGTTATCTGATACTCATTCTATTAATAAGGTTAGAATGAATCGTAACTTGTTTCGGAAGTTGTGTGACCTACTGGTTAGCGAGGGGGGGGGGGGGGGTTAAAAGGTACTGACAATGTAGACGTAGATGAGATGGTGATGATCTTTTTGATCACAATTGGCCACAACGCAAAAAACAGAACTTTACAGTTAGATTTTTGTTGATCGGGGCAAACTATTTGCAAAGTGTTTCACAAGATTCTTCGTGGAGTTCTTCGACTCCATCCCATTTTACTTCCACAGCCTGAACCTACTCCAGAAAACTCAGATGATGTGAAGTGGAAGTACTTTAAGGTGATACAATATCTTCTTTATTTTGTGATGATGTAGTAGACTTGTTTACAAGTATATTAAAAGCAAACTGTTTTGTTCTTTAGGGTTGCTTAGGGGCACTAGATGGAACACACATATAAGTTCGTGTAAGGAATGAAGACCAACCTAGATATCGGGACCGCAAGGGGCATATTTCAATGAATGTGTTGGGAGTGGTTAATCAAAATGTTGAGTTCCTGTATTGCTTAGCTGGTTGGGAGGGTTCAGCTCATGATGGGAAAGTTCTTAGGGATGCTTTATTAAGGCCAAATGGGCTGCGAGTGCCAAAAGGTAATTTTGAGATAGTGTCCCTTGAAAATAATTGTGAATATGCACTACACTAGTCTTAACTGGTTCCGTTCATTTACTAGGAACTTACTATCTATGTGATCAAGGATATAGCAATTGTGAGGGGTTCCGAACACCATACCGGGGCCAGAGATATCATCCTAAGGAATGGGGGGGGGGGGGGGGGGTTTAAGGCCAACAAAGGCAGAGGAATGCTTCAACATGAAGCATGCTAGCGCAAGAAACTGTGTTGAGAGGGCATTTGGGATTAACAAAATGAGATGGGGCATCCTGAGGGATTCAAGCTGGTTCTCCCCTGAAGTGATGGTTCAAGTTATAAATGCTTGTTTTTTATTACATAACTTCATCAAGAAAGAGCAAGGAGTGGATATATTCGAGAGGGACTATGAAGATGAAGAGCCTGAGCAATATCCATCAGCTTATGTTGAGCAGATAGAGGATGTTATAACAGTGGTTCAGCCTTCACACCAGTGGACTCAGTTTAGGGATAATATGGCAAAGGAAATGTGGATGAGTAGGAACTATAGAGGATAAAGTTGGTTGCCTTCTTAGCTGGAGTTGTGTGTCTTCTTAGCTGTTGTTGTTATTTGAGTGTTATTAACTATTGTATGCCACTCTGCTGTTTTTTTAAGTGTTGTACGGCACTCGACTATTGTATTAAATGCTGAATGTTATGAAACCTGACTTGTTTTTATGACAGTCTGCTGGTTTATTATAAGTTGAATAATTTGCTAGTTTGTTTAATGGTTGAATGAGTAGGTGGAGGTAGTTGAAGGCAACTGCCCTTTTTAACTATTGTATTTATTGTTATTATATTGTATTTTGTTATGTTGTTTTTACAGGATGCCTAGGCCGAGAAAGCGTAAGATAGAAGTAGAAGAAGGAGATGGAGTAGGAGAGGGCATCCAAGTCCCTCAGCCTAAGGGGCCATATTTCTCGTGGACTGAAAGGTTGGATGCTATTCTCATAGAATGTATGCAGGAGTTAGTTCATAAGCACCAAGTTGAGAATGACAATTTCAAGAGTGGATCCTTTACTGAGCTAGAGCTTATGATGAACAAGAAGGCCCCTGGTTGTGGAGTGAAAGCTGATCCAAACATTAGATCAAGGCACAAGAAGCTGAAAATGGATTTCATGGCAGTTCACTTGCTTCGTTCCAAGAGTGGAAAAGGCTGGGATGAGACCACATGTACACCAATTATCGATGATGATGTGTTTGAAGACCTTCTAAAGGTATGAAACAAAATTGTTGTATACAATCAAAGCCTAATATTTGGTTTTTTATTCTAACTTATTGCGAATGGCTGTGTTTGCTCCCCTAGGTGCATCCTAACATAAAAAACCTGAACAAAGTGCCTTTTCCCTTCTACAACGAGCTTCTTGAGATCTTTGGGAAAGGTGGGACAGCAGCTGGAAGAGTTACAGGTGGTATTTGTGACGGACCACCATCTCCTAAAAATCTTCTGCATATGGAAGGCTTTGACACACCAATTGATCTAGATGGCCAGAGATGCACAGAGATACTAGAGGACATAATCAATGAGGGCATTGATATGCAACATCCAACTGCCGTGGAAGCTGAAACACAAGCCACTCCAACTACTCAGAAACTATCATCTAACCCCAAAAGTGGAGCTGGCAGAATCCATACAATTAAGAAAAGGGCTAAGAAGAGTGAAATGGCAACTGATTCAGCTATAGCTAATGTGTCCTCTCAACTTGGTGAGTTGAAGCCAATATTATTAAAAGCTGTGGAAGCACTTGGATCCATAACAAGTGAGCGAAGTGAGCAAGATGGTGACAACATCAAGCAGGCTTCCTTGATCAAGGAGATAGGCAAGATTGTTGGACTCACGCGTGGCCAAGTCATTGATGCTGCTATGGCTTTAGTAGACAATGATCCAAAGACTAGACTTTTCTATGCGTTGGAAAGCGATGAGGACCGATGCTACTTCATCAAGAATCTGCTACGCTGATTAGGCTTGTGTATGAACTAGTTGGTACTCTATTTTGCAGAACACATGTGGTATGGATGTGAAACTTTTGTTTTTGTGCAAGGTTAGATCATCCTAGATTTGGCTGTTGCAAGTGTTGGTGGTGGACACACTGTCATTTTGCTTAAGTTTCATTACATACCAACATGTGTTGTTAATGTTTCAAGGATTAGAGTTGTATTCCCAGAGTTCGTAGGAGTATACAAGCCGCTGAACTCTTTTGTAGCAGGCTGTATTTTGCAGCTCCATTGTATAACAATGTTGATGAATTGCTCCATCAGTAAGCAACCTGGATATTTCAGTTAACAATGTCAATGAATTTCCCCACCAACATGCTTGTTTAAAGAGATTCTCAAAGTAAAAGAACAGACATTGTTTCATTCCAATTCATTGACAACACAGTACATACTAATCTTACACATTCATAACTGAACTAAAAATAACATGGAATACAACAACATGATCTACTTCCAATAATTTCCTACTACTACCCTCTAACTCTAGACGTTGTACCCTCTGCTTGATGAGTTCTAGCTCAACAACAAACTCGTTCGGTTGATGTTTTCCAGATCCATCTTTCATTACCATCTGTAACAAACTGCGTAGCTCCCTATTTTCAGATTCCAACATCGAAACCATTTCAGACAGCGGTGCAGTTGCTTTGAATACCGCAGCTCTAATGTCAAACCACTCAAAGTAATCACAGGATTTGTTATCCTTTGAGCGACTGAACAGGGGGCATCCAAAAAACTTGCGGTTAGGGTTCCCAGCAGTATGAGAGATTCTTCTAGCCGCCCTCAGCCCGCAATAACAGAGAACCTCTTCCTCCTCATAGCAGAATGCATCTGGAACTGTCACAATCTTCCCTTTACTTTCCATGAGATGACTGGATTTGTTAATTGAAATCCCCACTGCCACCAAAGGAGAAATCGAACTCAAAATGAAGAATCAAATGGGAAAAGCGAAATGGAAGATGGTTCAAACATACCTTCTTCTGAACCAGCTTCTTGTGCCTTGTCGTTTCCTCTGCTTCTTGTGCCTTGTCGTTTACCCCCAGCTTCTTGTGCCTTGTCGTCGCCTCTGCAGATCCGTCACGATTGGAGAAGTGATGGTGAAGAAGAGTCCTTCGTGGGGGCTTATGAAGAAGGAAAGAAAACAAAGGGTAATAAGGTAATTGAACCTTTTCAGTAATAAATCTCAAATCATCAAATCCATGATAAAAATAGCTCAACAAACAAATGATTTTCTCAAATCCATGGTGCTCAAAATCCCTAATAAATCCCAAGGTTTTTAATTAGCAAATCCATGACAAAAACCTCGTAATAAAATCCTTGAAGCAAATGACCCCTTAATCTCTCACTAGAAACACTCCTTTATTCTGAAAACTAAAACCCAAGAGAAAGCTCCCTTTTCTCCTTCAGCTCACTTCCCCTTTTATACCCAGATCGACGGCTGTTCACGGTCTCAATTCACGGCCGTGAATATTTGTCCTGGACTGTGACGTCGAGGAGATTCGCATCGTTTCACTAAGTCACTTCACGGTCTGGGGCTTGAGTTCACGGTCGCTTGACCGTGAACTGACTAGACTCCAGTGAGATTGAAAACTGCTATGGACCGTCCTCACTTCACGGTCTCGGGACTTTGGACATTTATTCACTTTTCCCCGCATTTTGAATTCCAATTGACCCGAAACTCGTCTTCGACATTTCCACGTACACGTGCTAGGACCTAAAATGTAACAAAACAAGCACAACCTAGCGTAAAATATGTCGAGGGACGATGAAATGAAAAGTCAAAATATCAAGAAATGAGGGATAAAGTGTGTACAATTAGACCCGAATCATGAACACAGTACTCTCTTCTGCATGTAGCGATGATGAATCCGGATCTGGCCACGAATCATCGGCGGTGCACCCATTTGAAGATGGCAAATCAATGGCGGCAATCCAGATAAAGCAAATCATGCAAGAATGTGAGGGTATTTCATTCAAATGCTGGGAAAAGGTTGAGGAAAGATTCATTCAAGGTTGTATTTGTGTGGAGTAGAACAATGATTTGGGGATGAAGTTTTGATTGAGAGAGTTAGAGAGAGGAGGGAATTTTTTCTTGGCAGAGATGGAGAGAGTAGAGAGAGGAGGGAATAGTTTCTTGGCAAAGATGGAGGAGAGAGACGGAGAGAGGAGGGAATAGGTGGGTCTCTACGGATTGAGAAATAGAAGTGACGACGCTATATTCGGTACATTGTGTATATAGCGATTACCGTCGATTAATAACTGGGTATGGGTCGGTAATACCGGTGGAAAGATTTCGCCTACCATGTACCGATACCGTCGGTTAACGATTTAACTAGTAACTGCCGGTTATCGGTACAGTTACTGGTTAAACCGTTAACCGTCAAACCAGTTACCAACCCTAGTTAGAGTTAGAGATACATGGAAATGAATGTGTTGTTTGGGCTTCTGGCATGCAGCTAAGGATGGCAATATGGATATGCTCTGTTGGATTTTACCCGACCCGCTCCGCAATGGGGCGAATTTCTGACCCGTTCCGAAAGAGGGTGGATCATGCCCCAACCAGTGAGAAGAACAGAGCGGATATTAATAATATTATACAACCTGCCCTGTCCTGACCAAGCCCGCCCCACCCCACCATGTTGTTCCCACTCCAGGCTCGACTTCATCTTCAATTAGTTGTAAATAACACGAAAAAAACACTTCTTATACAAAGAAAGTGGGCATAGCCCACTCTTTGCCTACTAGCATCAGTCACCGCAACCATCTCCTCTCTGGCGAATGAACTTGTGCCCGCCGCCGACAAGTCCGTGTAAGGGTAGGCCTCGATCAAGATGCCATCTTTGGCGTCCTTTCCTTTTCCCCCTGTCGTCGCTGGGTAAGGATCAGTCTCCCTTGAATATAATTATGTCACCATTTTGCATCTCCCTGGTTCTGAAGGCTTAAATGAAAAGCAAACTGACCAGTTTTATTGGAATGAATGAAAATATCCTGACCTGGCACGATCCCTGATATACAACAACCACTAAAAACTAACCAGCTAACATGGTGCAAATCTTGACCCAACTAACCAATAGACACAGATGGACTATTTTGACGCAAAATTGAACTAAAGAACCATAAATACAATTAACCAAACGACCCCACTTTTGACTTAAGAACCTTATTTCCAACTTAAACTTCCCGCCTCGTTGCTACAGCTTTCAGTCAATTGGAGGACTGCTAACAAATCCTCCCCTGAACTGAAGCCTCTTATACAACCACTTTATTTCACTTCTCAATGGATGCCTTCAACATAAGTTCAAAATCTTCAGTCCTTGTCTATAACAGCTACTTCAACAGCATCACACATTCCAAATGTATCCAGCTTCACAGTCATCACATCATAGCTTTTGATTGCTAACACAAAAAATGACAACATCAACAATCTTGTGACCTTTATCTGCAGAATTGTTTCGGTTGAATCAAATTTTCCACGCTTGTCAAATAACTCCACAAAAACGTCCAACTTTAATGCCTTTTTCACAATGTTGGATATATGATCACAAAATCCAACCACTTTCCGTTTGTCAAAATCCCTCGGATGATGGAAACTAAGATTAGTGTGTCCACTCCTTTCTTGCACTATTGAATTCTTGGACAACTCAATGATCAAGAAATTGTCACACATAATCTTCATTCCTTGTGATGTATAATGGGCAGTAACCACAAGTTCAACTTCAGCGAAGATATCATTAGCCAGTGACTGCTCCTTGCAAGCTCCAGATATAATCTCTCTTGAATCTCGAGCTGCTGTAAACTTGGTTCCATAGACCATGGAAGACAAAAAATATTCCACTCCTTCCATAACTATCATCAAATCACAATCTGTTGCACCATCTTTATAGTTGATAAATGATACTGCCAAAGTGATAAAAATAGCCACAAAGCTAGCTATAAAGCTAGTTGTGAACATGAATTGAGCAATAATCAAACTGGTAATTAGGTATTTCACCATACTATCTGCAATTAGCCACTTCTGAAAGTTGCATACTAGTAAAAAAATAGTTGAAAAATATGCCGCAAATATGATCCAATATTATGTAAAAACAGCTACAAAGTTGACTAACCTTGTTGTAGAATCTGCTACAATAGGTTCACCAAATATATCTTTATATTTAGTTTGTCTTAACCTGGACCTCTCTTTAAACCTGTGGTAGATTGCTCGAAATCACTTAGTAAGCTCCTTTATCTT